CCACCACCACCACCACCACTAGCACTGCTCCTCCTCTCGTCCTGCTGCTCCTGCTTGCGCTGCCGCTGCTGCCGGTACTGCTAGTGTTGCGACTACTGCCACGACTATTACTAGACACTGCCTAGATTTCGGGGATACCTCTCACAGTGTCGAGGTGGGATCAGCTCTTGGTTGACAGGAGTTTGAATGTGTGTTTCTGCAGGCTGTGCAAGGTCCTTTACAACAACGTTTCAGGGCTAACTCAAGCTGCAGCGCACATGAGCTCTCGGCAAATTTCTCAACATATGCTCGCGATATCACTCGTGGCCATCTCAGCTCAAAGCAGCAGCTTGAGCCCTGCGGAGCATGACCACGATGATGTGGGTCCGCTGGCTCTTGTACCTCTGTGCGCCATGTTGTTTCGTGTGCACGGATCAGATGCTGTTTTGGGTGGATGACCTCATCTCCCAAAACAAGGTCACTGGCCTGCATCTCGTGCTTCTGTTTCGTTTGCTTATGCTGGTTGGATGAATGTCTGTACTGGTGCTGAGCAGGTCGAGTCCAAGTTGTGGATGATGACGGGAGAAGATGCGTCACTGGGCACCCGAAAGATCCAGTATGACGACTTTGCATATTGTATGGAAGCACACGGCAACTCGGACTCCTCAGTGTGTCAGAACCACGGACGCTTCGTCGCCGAAGCTTGGCGGTTTCTGGTGCCGAAGTCCCCAAACCCCGAAAGCCCCAAACCTTCAGGCACGTTGGATGGCAGTGTCTGCAAGCCGTGCCCTGGCTCCAAGTCTGACGGAGAGTGCAAAACAACAACCTTTCAGGTCTTAGAAGTCTTGGTCTTGGTCTGAGGAGCTACTTGATCAACGGGTGGAATTCAACAGATGGCACCTCCCTGGCCGTCCGGACGTCCATTTCCGTGGCGTATGACCCAGCCGGGGAAGGAGATGGTCGGCGACCTACTGATTCAGAGTTCTTCACAGTTGCTTTTGAAGCTCCCTGAACTGACAAAGCTTTCGAGAGGTGAGCATGTGGTGGGACCAGTGGCGGACAAGACCAACCGTCAAATCTATTGGATTACTCCCAGCTGCGCCACCTCAAGCGGCCGAAGGCTCACGGTTTGGAAGGTGTCGGCCTGAGCGGGAGCGGGCTCCCGGGACGCTGTGAGAAGGCGCTCGAAATGTCTCCGAAAAGAGGCTGTGAAAAGTGTTACTAGTGGACGCCTGTGCTCGTGCTGTTATTCAGTGCTACCAGTACCAGTACCATGCTAGTGCCTGAGGTCAAATACCTTCTGGACAACCAGATCACTCCGGATGGATCTGACCCAAATCCCCTGACCTGCGAAAATAACTCGTACGTCTATGCGGTGAACCGCTACGATGTGGACACTAAGAAGTACTCCCTCATCTATGCGGCTGCTCGTGCCGACTTTCCTGCGCCAGAAAAGTGGACCGCATACAGCTGGAAGCTCGCATTTGACGAAACGAGGCAGCGTCTGTACTGGTGGTTCTATGCCGGTGCCTGTGCGGTGGTCAGAACGTGCGATGCTCCCCTTTACTACATCGATGTGAGTGGTTTGAGTGATGACGGTGCCATGCCGACTCCGGTGTCAGCCGCAAACGTAACAGACGGTTATGGGCATGCAGCTTGGCTCGGTTTCAGGGTTTGCAGAAGACTTGGCGCGCCGTTGGCTCACGACACATGCATGTTCTCGGTGGCTGTGCCAAGGCCTATTGGGACATGACCATCGATGATGGCGGAAATCTCTACCTGGTTGATTGGTATAAGATCAGGAAGTACGATGTGACGACGGGCGCTGTGACCGACCTCCATACCGAAGACTACCTCAACACCGGTTATCACTTTACCGGAGTGACCCACTGGACCGGCACAACCAAGTTGATTGTGACCAAGACCACAAGTGTGACCTCGGAAGTGTGGACTTTCGACACTAGCGATTCAACGTGGGCGCAGCTTTACAGTGCGGTCTACTACGAGTTCTACGATCTAGGCCCAAGCTTTCATGTCCTTCAGCGGCTCAAAGCAAGGCCTCTCCATAAGAGCCTGAAAGGCCAAACTATCTACAACACGGCGGTGGATGTGACCCACGGCCTGCTGCCGCGGCCTGAGGAGACCTTGAGCGCCACAGCTTTATAATCGTTGAAGTTTCTGGAGTTCGTGGGAGAGTCAGGTATGTGGCCACGAGCGGTGGAAACTCTGGAGGCAGATCCATCATTGAGTTGCCACTGGCTCCATCTGGCCAGACGGCACCCTTCAAGGCCCCAGCTTGCCATGCGAAACACTTTGGAAAAGCTGTCTCTCTCTCTCTCTCTCCGTCACCTTTCTTTGCTGTTTTAGGGGCGTGAGATAGAGGACAGCATGTTGTTGCGACTGCGAAGGCTTGCGCCACAGGACGTTACAACATGGACTGCCCACTCTACGGCATCGGGGAGCGCCTGGTTGTGGGTCACATGCAGCCCGTCCGCCCATGGAATGTTTTCACAGTTAAGGCTTAAGGCGATGCGCTCGTTCGCAGACAGCAACATGCATAAAGAAACATTTCAGGATATACAATCAGAACGAGAAAGCGGTTTGCATGGGAATACAATAAGGGAGAGAGCGAGAGAGAGAATCATTGTCTTCAGATAGTAGATCGATCCACATTGCAAGCGCCACTACAAGGAGATACTTGTAGGCGGGCCATGGTAGCTCTATTATACGTAACATTATAGGCTTACGGCATCAATCTTCAAGCTGGCTATTGCCTCCAACCAGAAGCCGAACCCAAAAGTAGAGCTACTTGCGCGCACCTTCTAGGTGCCCCTTTTCAGGGCGATGGTTCTTTGGCGCCTCAACAGTAAGCCTTCTCTCTTGAACTTCTCTCCTCTCCATGCTGCATTGTATAAGACTCGCAGAAGACTCGCGCAGGTGCTTTGGGACCGGGGAACGAGTCATAGAAAAAGGCCCTGTGATCTCAAGCCACCTCAACACCCTTCTAAGCCCCAACTCCACTAACGGCAAAGGTACGCTGCCTTTTCCGTTGCCGGCTCGGGCAAGGCAACGAATTTCGCCGCTGGATCGGCGGACCGATTTCCGGCTTGGGGGACCTCCCAGTGGCTTAGCATGGATAGCGGTGGTAGCAGCAGCTCCGGTGGTGGTGGTGGTGGTGGTGGGAGTAGTAGTAGTAGTAGTAGTAGTAGTAGTAGTAGTAGTAGTAGTGGTAGTAGTAGTAGTCGTCGTCATCGTGGCCGTCGTCGTGGTCGTAGTAGTATGTAGTAGTAGTGATAGCGGTAGCGGTAGTGGCAGTGGCAGTGGTAGTCGTAGTCCTTTCCGTACGTGCAGTCGTCGTAGTCGTAGTAGTAGTAGTAGTAGTAGTAGTAGTAGGCGTCGTCGCCGCCGTCATCGTCGTAGCAGTAGCAGTAGCAGAAGCAGCAGGGGCAGCAGCGGCAGTAGCAGCAGTTGGTGTTGTTGCAGACAAAACCGCCGCCCGTAACTTATGTTATTTAGAAGCAATTGGGAATGAGTCCAGCGATCGCATAGGGTGCCCGTGGAGTTTCAGGGAATACAAGCCACGGTTTGCACAGCATCTGCCCCGTGATAGACATGCGGTGTAGGCTGGGTGGTTGTTGTAGAGCGGGGGCAAAACAACAGATGGGGCTCCAGTTTCTGTCTCTAGCAGCAGGTAGAGACAAGGGCCCTGTGAAAATCAGGACTTTGTCTCTACCCACATTACACACGTTTCCACCCCGGTACGGGAATCTGCCAAATGCGGAAGGGTTTTCATGGATTTTGGAAGGGATTTAATGGTAATGTTGTCATGGGANNCTTATGGGTTTCCATGGGGTTTTGAAAGGGTTTGTCTGTTATTTTCAACGGTTTTCATTGGATATCGAACGATTCAGAAAGGATTTTGATGGATTTCGAAGAGTTTTTTGTGACGTAGGCGGATTTTGAATGGCTTTAGGATTTCGAAGGGTTTGCACGGGATTTTAAACCTGGGGGTTGGAAGGGTTTTGATGGTGCTTAGCATGGTTTCAAAGACTTTTTGCGGTATTTGGAGAAAGATACCCTAAACCCTAAACCCTATCTCCTCAATGCTTTGTGGAAAATTTGGGGTTCACACGCTGCAGTCCAGAGCTGAAGCCCAAACCCAAGCCCCAAAATCTCAAAACCAGAAGACTGCTAGTTCTTAAGCCTAGACATCCGTGAACCCTGGACAGAAAATCCTGGGAAATCCTCTGCAAATACATGAAAATCATCTGAAAGTCCTTGGAAATCCGCTTAGGATATTTGGAAGTTTTCTGAGAATCTTTGGAATTCACGTGAAAATCTTTGAACATGTTTTGAACATCCTGGGAAATCATCTGAGAATCATCGGAAACCATCTGAAAATCGTTGGACACTATTAACAAATTTTGAAAATCTTGGAATCCTCTGCAAATTCTTCAAAGCCTGTACACCATCGTCACCGTGTTGTTATTGTTGTGGGGCGTGGGGCGGCGGGGGGGGGGGGGGG